TTCCTGCTGTCTCATATGCATTACATCTTCTCAGTTCAATCTAGCTAATGACTTGCTTAAATGCTCTCAAGCGTTCCTTACGCTCTTGAGCACAACTGATTTGTTTTGCTTTCTGTTGCCGGAATCCACATTCTTATTGGACTTAGTGTACTTTCCCCTTTTGCTATTTTCCTTTTCTAGGCTCTGGATGATCCTGACCCTCAGTTTAGGCTTTCTGCATTCGTGTATCTCATGCTAGATCTTATGTTCTTTCTTCGGACATTTCATACAGTGCTGTCGTATTGCGTATTGTTCTTAGCTGATAAGCACCAAATTAGAGGGGATATTCTACATTAAATACGAGTATCATCTCTTTTCCTCTTTTTTTTTTTCTACAATCTGTAGTATTTGACCTGTCCTGGTATTACTCATGCGGATTACTGGCCCTTACGAATATGCATTTTGGTCTGTTCCGGTGGTCGGGTTCTTCAAGATTTGGCATGATGGCACTCTTATCTCTATCCTCTGATGAATGTATTGGTAAGCAGGTACTTGATAGCCTCACACACGACAGACTATCAACATCCGATGCTCTTCCTCAACACATTTGCAGTATTTATACTGGTGGTAGCAAAATTTCCGCACATGCACAAGGTCCGTATATTTGGAATCAATGAAACCTGAAGAGAGGAAAACCGTCTCTGTGAGATTGGAAGTCATCAGACATGTCTGTACAGACATTACGTCCACCACTTTCACAATATACCCCAAGAGGACCAGTCTTTTGTAAACATACCACTTTTCTATTCTTTTATGTAAAAGTAAGCAATTTACGTTCAGCTCAGGAAATTTCATATGACACAGTGGCCTACCTCCCCTTTCGGGATGGGTAGATGGATGAACTGTTTATTGCTACACTGCATCTTCTGAGGTTATTTCTGATAAAAGAGGTGAAGTCTGAAACTTTAAATGTAGATCCAAGAAGCGATGGAACTATTCGTCCACGACATGGACTGAAACATGCCGAGTAAGATCGACCTTGATAAATCTTTCGACCTGCATTCCTTTCATCCCTACGAATACGAGGAAACTCTGGTTTCTCCTTACAGCTTAAACCCCGTATCACCCTTCATTCATTGAAGTACTGATGTTTACCCCGTGTCTCGCAATGTAAATGTAAGGAGGCAAATGCAAATGGCGTTGAACTACTTCCATGGAGAAGTGTAGAATCCAACGTATATCCATTTGTGTAACATGGCCGGTAAATTTTAATAGAACAAAACTCCCCCTAAACCATGATCAGGTTATACATTTTATCTAATCGGAAAGATGAATATATCCTATGTCCTTAATGATGAAATGAAATGCCTAATATAATCTTTTGATCCTATAATCACCATGATCCACCGCCTAACATGCCAGTCCAAAACCCACCCGAGTGGTCCGCTTCTTCTTCCTTCTCGTGCTCATCAATGCTTCCCCGATGATCATGGCGATGATGATTATCAATCCCATTACCACCACCACTACCACTATTGGTACTTGATGACGAAACTGGTAGTTTCAGATTCTCGAACGGGAACAGAAGCCTCCCACTCGTGTTTGTTGCATTGGAACCGTCTTCCCGATTCAGAGGGTCGTCAGGATCAAGGGAGAAACCCAAAGCTGGTCTCATGAATTCTTGCATTGGTGGGTAATTCAGGCCAAATCCAGATACTGCTGCAGTGTAAACTGATGGATCATGAGCAGTGGGCAAAGCCATGAAAGTAGAACACGAAGAAGCAGAAGATAAACCAGATGACGATGAGATCGGTGGGTTCTTCATGATGGGCATTTGCAGAAACTCAGAACCACTGTCGTGGCCATCCACAAAACCTTGAGAAAATGCCAAATTCAGGTCTTGAGCTTCATGGGCATTCCCAATCCCTTGAGAAAAAGCCAAATTCAGACCTTTATCTTCTTGGGCATTAGTGATCTTAGGGTTTGTACCAGTGGTCTGTGTTGTACTAACGGAAAGATGTTTCCTTGGAGAAGAAGGAGAGGAAGACGACGAGGAATTCGAAGAGGAAGAGAAAGATCTCTTGTTCTTCCTCGAGCCACCGCCAACGGGGATGCTTCTGAGAGACCCGCCTTCAGTCCAATACCTTCTACAGGTTTTGCAGAAGTATCTTGGTTGTGTCAGGCTATAGTTGTTGTAGTAACAGAACTTGGTGTTCGTTGAGTTACACCTCGGACAATTCAAAGCTTGGTCCTTCTGTGGTCTTGTCTGTCTCTCGGCCGCCGTCTGCGTCGGCTGAGTTGGCTTCAGGCATGTGTTTGTGACGATCTCATCTATTGGCTTCACAACAATCTCCTGCAAAAAAAAAACAACAACGAAACTTTAGACATGTTTTTATATGGAAAAAACCAGCCCTTCAAAGAATTGTAAAGAAACACAGCTTTGATCAACAATGGAAAAAAAAAAAGATCATTAACATCAAACCAGCTGACCAAAGAACGCCAGAATACTGAAATTTTATGTCAAAAACATAATCGGAAAGGAAATTAAAAAAGCAAACAAAAAAGAAAGATGGGAAAAGGCATGAGAACAAGATTCAAATCAGAGAGACGGGGAGATCAGAAGAAAGGCAAAACATATATATACGTGCGGCCACTGGGCTGTGTTCATGGCTGTTACTGATTAAAATCCAGAGGACGACGAAGGCGACGTTGAAGATGAAGAGGGAGAGAGAGTACGATGGCTAAAGCTGGTTTCTGAAAAAGCAAGCCGGAGACATGACATGGGAAGGGGGAATCTTTAATTTATTTTCCTATCTAACTAAACTCTGCCCCCGTATGTATAAAAATTAGCGGTTGCCATTTCACATTTCGATGTGGATTCGGTTTAATTATATTCGGGTTCCTTTATTTCAGTTATGGAAAAACTATAACCATTCAGTTTTTATATAAACTTTTATTCGTTTCGGTTCGATTATTTTTCATTTCGGGTTCGGTTCGATTTCGGTAAAAAAAATTATTTTTTTAAAGAAATTATCAGTTTTTTCGGTTATTTTTTATTCGGTTCGATTCGATTTCGATTTTTTTGTATTTAAAAAAATCATGATTGTTCGATTTTGATGTCGGATTCGGTTCGAATACGGTTATATCTTATTCGGTTCGGTTTGACTCGATTATTCGGTTAATAACCGAAATAGTCACTCCTAATAAAAATGAAAATGGCACCTACAATTTTTTGTTTAATGTTTATTTATTTATTTATTTTTGTACTCTTTTATATTAATTTAATATTTTTTTGCGCTATCAAACTCCAAATTGAGTTACAAATGAATTGTGCTGTTTAAGCAGCACGGGTGACAATGTTGTTAACCATTAATCTATGTGGTCAACAGTTATACACGTCGATATGAATTTGTATTATTGTTGTTGTTATTAGTTAATTCCTTGGAAAACAGCTTAAAAATCTAAATGTAGAAATGATGCGATTGTTAATTGTCTGTTATCTTCGAATGGCAATATTAATAAATAAAAAGTATGGGACAAAATAAGTTATTGCATTATTTCTATTGTTTTTTTTTCATCCAAGACGGATTATATTAATTAATGAAATAAGATGGATGGTCTTTGTGATGTGCGAGGGAAAATAGTAGGAGGGCCAACCTCGTTTGTAAATGCACATATCAATCTGTTAGCTTATTTACTTAGTGCTCTGGCTCCATTAATGCGCTCTGCCTACGCATTATTTCTTGCATTTTATTTTCATTAACATATATATATTTTTTTGTTATTTCGTCTCATGGGAATATTAAAGGTTAAAATATACAGATGAGAATTAGTGTGTCTTTTGATTTAAATTAACCTAAATCGTTCACCTCTCCCGTTTCATCTCGTTTTATTCCATTCACATGCAAGGCCAAGCAAACTTTGATATTTATATACATATATATATATATTTGTATATAAATGTGAATGCGGCGAATTGGTTACATTCATACTTTTTTCCATGCGAATATTATGTGAGTACCAAACCCGACAGGTGATCAAGGGACAATGGACCCACTCTAATCGATCGTATTTACAAAAAAAAAAAAAACGACGTAGTAGTGCAGCCGGTGAATCTGGAGACTGAGCGGGACATCTAAGAACACAAATCCTAGGGATGTTGACACGTGTTCAAGGGCTAGAGCGCCCTTGGACGGTTGAGATTAGCTTGCTTAGGTGGACCCCATTTCTTTCCTTTTTCCGGAAGGAGTCCAATCTCAGCCGTCTGATCTCCTCTAGGCGTCGACCTATTCCGCTATTGCGATCAACGTCAGCACCTATCCTCCTCACCGTAGGTCTACACAGTTGGTGTGCATATATATATATATATCATATATGTATACATATAATATAAATAAATGCAAATCTGGCTTGATTTATGCACAGCATCGGAATAATATATATATATATATAAGAGCACTAACGGATGAATGTGTACGTGATATAATCGACCGGCCTCAGATGATAAAAAGTTGACGAGGAGCTTAAAGGCAACCTCCTTGAATTAGTAAACCCTCTCTCATTCAATGTGAATTTTGTTTTTACCAAAAAAAAAATTATGGAATTTATATGCACCAGAATTTAAAAAGAAAAGAAAAGGAATCTTGTGCTGTCATATGTACCGTACAGCCGCATGGGTTAGATTAGATCCACCGTCCGATTAGATTTAATCTGGGTCCCACTGCATCTCACTTCTCGAGGAGAATGTCTGGGTCTGTTTAATTAATATTTAATTTTAAAAAAAGAAATCCATGGGAATGATCCAATTGAACCTGCCATACATGCATACTATGCATGGGATATATGACGAGAGAACTCGATATCATCTTACATACATCATGCACATATTTATCTTATTTATGTATGAACGTTTGGTTTGCTTGATTCTGGGTACATCAATTACCCTTTTGCCTCTCTCTATTTACGTGTATATACATAATGAAATGAGTTAATCGGAGATTTTTTTAGTAAGACGCCAAAGAGAGCATTGCATGATGGCGCCCACATGGGACGATGCAACTAAATTAGGCAAAGCAAATGTTAATGGGCATTGTTTTGGTGTTAATTATAACTCCATGTTTCGGGTAACCTCTAGGGGGACCGAACCCACCATATCTGATATATTATATGGTCCCTGGGCTTAGTGATTTTTCACTCTCTCCTCCCATTGGGCTACATATGTACCATTAAAAATGCATCAATTAAAAAAAAAATCACAAGCCATTGCTAGAGTAGTGCACGAGGGTCCTTTTAGTTACTAACGCGTACATGTATATGTTTAGTGGAACGTCATTTTTCACGGGTACACTAATTGTTTTTTACGTCTGGCGAAAATCGAGGAAAGTAAATAACCCCCGAAAATCCAGGGCGTATCGCGGCTTATGCATGGACCACATTTATGATGCGACCAATAAATGAAGATCAAGGGGGTCAATGTCGGCACGTTGCAGAAACCACACACTTGCATTATTCACTTCATCAAAGACGTTTTTGTCTGAGGATATAACAGATGTGTGTGTGTGTGTGTGTGTGTGTGCGCGCTCTACTATATTTACAACTACGTATGCATGATGATTGACCTCCCGTGGAACGTCACAGGAGAGCCCATTCGATGACCCCAGCGCGATTCTCTTTGTATGGGCTGCTCAACGGCCCATCTCTTTTATTATAGGCCCACAAATAAGCCCAACAATTTTAAACCACATGTCGGATACTTTTTTTTTTTTTTGCTTCCATGTCTTACTTAAACTCCAGAATTATGTATTATTTTTTCTATCAGAAATTGTTTTTAATCACTACTTGCAGAAATTATATTATTAAATTATCGATTCTGAATAAAATATAGAGTATTAATTCTATTTTATATGGTTTATTCAACTGAAGCAGCCCATATAAATCACCACAAAGCAATAAAGAATAGAAATGATAAAATACAAAGTCGTAGGGTTATTGTATTAGTTTAATTCAAATTAACAAATGGACGGATGGATGAATCAATTTAAATGGGAAAAATACATATTGACTTGAGAAAAAAAAAAAAAAGAGAGGCATTGACGAGTCTACGTTGAAAGATTCGTGTGTTGGATTAACGTTAAAAATGAGTTAATATTGGAAGATAGTTTTGTATATAACAGAAGCTGGTTGATTAATAATGCTCTCTTTTTCCTCTTTTTGATTTACACGGAATTTCTCGCATTACGTATAACTTAACTGCTACAGTTTAATTTTTTCCTCTTGAAATTTCTTTAACTGTATAGTTTATAAAGAATAATTAAAAAAATTGGCTTTCACTAAATATATATTTGATGCATTAACCTTATGAACTGTGACTGATATATATATATATATACGTATTATTGTAGTAGACTCTATAAGTAGTATTGTAATAGTGGTAGAAATGGCAACTATTTTTTTGTTGAAATGGTATTAATGGAAAAAATAGTAGCAATTAAGGGGAAAATATATTTATAAAAAAAAAACAATGAATTGACAAACCGAAAAGCAAACATTGAAGCGAGTGTGATGGATTGACCATCGGAAATTCAAAAGATGAGAGAGCAAAACGACAAGCAAATGATCGCCCATTCTCCGACCACACTTCGTACAATCGAACAAGCCTCCGTTAACCATACTCTCTCATTTCCCAATGATCTTTGCCTCAACCCCTCTCAATAGCAACCCTTAAACCCGAGAGGGTTTCACTGGAATTTGGAAACCGACACAACCACTCGCTTTTACTCCTCTAATCACGTGAAAAATCACTCCATCGCCCTTGTTAAACCCTCTTCCTCTCACTTATATTTTCCCTTTCTTAAATCCGTATTGGAAGAACACGATACGATAACTTGGGTTCCGCTAGAATTTTGTCGGGTGGGACAGGTAAGCAAATCTTCCACACGTTCAGGTGTCTTCTTTTTTCTTTGGAATTCTTTCCATTTGTTTATCGTTGAGATTGGCTGTTTGTTTTACTTCGAAGCAATCCTTTTGCAGATTGGCATGTTGTGGTTTTCTCGACTTCTTCTTCTTTTTGTTAAAATATCCTTTCCTGTTAGGTCGAGAAGGGTTTTGTCCTTGTTTCCCAGTTTCTGTCATGATGTATGTTGAACTAAGAACTTACCTTAAGAGCTAAATCCCAGATTTTGGGAAAAAGTTCGTGTCCTCTGATTTTTGGGTTGACTCTGGTTTATGGCAAAAGATAAGCTTTTTGCGGTTGTCCCTTTGAATTCGTCAATTCTGGCTTATTTCGTGCCAATCACCAGTCGATGGGCCCTTGTTTTGTTCTGATTGTGGTTATTGCAAAATATTAGACTTGCTGCGACTATTCTGGGTGTGTTACGCGCCGATCAGGATTTGATGGGTCTTGGAACAAATTAGCGATGGATACTTGTGGGGACGAGGAAGACGAATTCTTTGATGCCCGCGAAGAGGTCTCATCTATCTCCGACTGCAACTCCGAATTCTCCGATGACTTCAGTTGTCTTATTGATCAAGAAACCGGCGGTTTTGATCTCTGGAACCAGAATCCGGAGAGTGTTCTCAGTCGCCGACGTAGGTTTTTCGAATCCATGGGCTTTAGCTTCAAAAAAGCTTCAGCAAACGATTATGGAGATAAAGATCAGTCCGACGAAACGGGAACCCCTCGCTCATATCACTCGGACCAATCTCCGTCTGACGATTACGTTGATAGAGTGAAGAACATGTTGTTGAGGAACGAATCTAATGGAGACCGTTCTTCTCTTTCATCACTTTCGAATTCTCTGGGAGATTCAATTGAGGATAATGTCAGAAGATTGGAGAGCATGGATGGTGAAGTTGTGTTTGTGAGGAATGAATCCAGCAGCAGCAGCTGCGTGGATGAAGCACTCAGCGAACCGGGTTCGAGCAAGTCCAGTAATAGCAGCTTTGGTGGTTTTGAAAACTCCTTGTTGAGTCATAGAGAAAGACGTGATGAGTCGACCAAAAAGGGGACTAAAGGCTGGTTAAAAAAGCTAAGCGCTCTAAGGCATGTTCTTCATAGACACAATGACTCCAGAGAAGGTGAATCAGTAGGATCGCCGTCGAGGAGACTTGCTCGGGTTCATTCTTATAAGAAGCATTTCAAGGAGCTCTCCACTCTCTATGTCGGCCAAGAATTCTCAGCGCATGATGGATCGATCTTAACCATGAAGTTCTCTCATGACTGGAAACACTTGGGCACTGCAGGTGAAGATCGTGTTGTTCGTGTCTGGGAAATAACCGAGAAGGAGAGAGCAGATGGATTTGAAGTGACAGAGTCTGATTCAGGCTCTTACGCTTACTTTAGAACGGATGATGGTCTTTCCCGGATTGAGCCTCTTAATTCTGAAAAGAAGAGAAGATTATTGAAGATGTCATCTGATCTGACTTGTGTCGTATTGCCCCCAAAGGTCTTTGCAATATCGGAGATTCCTCTGCATGAGTTTCGGGGACACACTGGTGAAATCTTGGATCTTTCCTGGTCACAGAAAGGGGTATAGTAGAGTCCTTTTTTCCAAAGATTGGCTTAGTTTTATTATCTTAAGACCTAAGGTCCGCTGCCTATGCTTGCAGTTGCTGCTGTCTTCCTCTGTGGACAAGACTGTCCGTTTGTGGCGTGTAGGTTCCCATGAATGCCTCAAAGTATTCTCCCATAAGAATTTTGGTGAGCTCCTTATCTTGTCTCTTAGTTAAATTTAAATATATGCGAAACACAAGACTAACAGTATCTCGTGTTTCTTAAAGTTACATGTGTTGCGTTCAACCCGGTGGATGAAGATTACTTTATCAGCGGTTCAATAGACGGGAAAGTTCGAATGTGGGATGTGTCCCACTGCCGGGTGGTTGACTATACTGATGTAAGAGACATTGTTACAGCCGTCTGTTATCGTCCTGACGCTAAGGTTTGGCCAGTTGATCAGCTTAACCGATGAAAGTTGTGAGGTTTCCTAAAAGAGATTATTTTCCAGCTTTTGCTTACAAAGCCATTCTACTGCAGGGTGCAGTGGCTGGAACCATGAGAGGAGACTGTCGATTTTACCAGATACTGTGTAGGTTTAGCAATACTTGCACTCTTCTTGGACCACAAAAAGCATTGGAGCCTCATCGTTTACCTTTTTGGATTTCTTTCAGATGATCAATTGCAGCTGGACAGAGAGATCAGTTTACATGGGAAAAGGAAGGAAGTGCCAAGCAAAAGGATAACTGGTTTACAGTACTTCCCAGGCGACATTGACAAACTGATGGTCACTTGTGCTGATTCACAAATCAGGATACTGAGTGGAGCTGATTTGATATGCAAGCTTAAAGGTTTGGATCAGAGATTCCTTCTGCACCCGTTATAACCCTCTTTTTAAAATTACTGGGTTCTATGTTCTATGGGGAAAAGTTGAACTGAGACAAGCCGACACATATCTGTTCCCTTTTTGTGGGATCAAGATGTGACCTTTCTCGTGTTTTTCGTTTCGTGACAGGATATAGCCTATTGACAACATTGAGCACTGCTTCTGCCTCATTCACATCGGACGGGAAGCACATAGTCTCGACAACAGAGGACTCAAGTGTGAATGTGTGGAGCTACTCCTCCTCTCAACCCAACCAGAAGGCTTCTTCTTCTTCTTCTAGTAAGAAACCCAAAAGCATAAGATCATGTGAGAGGTTTGTGTCAGACAACACATCAGTAGCAGTACCATGGGGGCCAGTGGACAAGAACAGGTTGGGTTTAGGGTTCATCTCAGATGGATTATTACTACCTCAGTGCCCTTCTTCTTCTTCCCTTGACTGTTTGAGAGGATCATCAACCACTTCTACTACCACATGGCCTGAAGAGAAGCTTCCAAGAGTGGAAAGCCCAAACATGAAGTTGTTGTTGAGGAATGGTTGGCCTCACCATCACCACCACCACCACCTTTGGGGGCTTGTTATCGTTGCTGCCACTTGGGACGGCAAAATCAGAGCTTTTCACAATTACGGCTTACCCGTTCGGGTTTAACACACACGTCCTCCTTTCGACGAGAGTTTGTATAGGAATGGTCTCCTTTTGAATGAGTTTGTGCATTGCATTGTGTGTATATGTTTTGTTTGTTCTTCTTATTAGTTGATTAAGCTGCAACTTACAGTGAACAATAACCAATTTAATAAAATACCATATGATACAAAACAAAAGCAACCCTATTTGAGTTGATCATGTATCTGCTCATTCATTACAAATGACACTAGACAGCACTGATGTCTTTGTTGTCTTGGCTGCTGCGGCATGGCCAAAGGTCACCCCAGAAGGATCGCTTGGCCTGAAAATGGAGATCAGGGTTCTTGCTCTGCGTTATCACCCTCCTTTCAAACTTACCCTCAGAACCATCCTCATTGGTCGGCATGCACAGATCCAACTGCACCTGTTTCCCCCTTCTCATCGGTGGGAATATTATCCTTCCCCACCCTCCTCCCATCCCTGCCCTTGCCCCCATCTCTTCTCCCTCTTCTCCTTCACAGGTTTCTTCTTCTTCGTTGTCTGTATCGTCAATGGCATCACTCTCAACTATATCAGAGTCGTACTCTCTTGGATCAATGTATGGCACTTCCACAATCTGCGTCTTGATAAAATCCTCTGCACATATCTCATTCACAATGAGTTTCACACAAACGTTCCAGTTTCAAACAGAATATTCACGCCACTCCACACATTGATTTCCATAACCTATCGTCGAGACTACTTAAAAGTGGGTTAAAAAGGGAACATAAAAGTCCAGACATACCGTAATCAATTTCAAGATCCTCAGGTTTCCTCTTTGCATGTTTCTCCTTCAAAGTCTCAAACTTTATACCGTCAAGAGGCCATGGCTCCCTACTTTAAGGCATATGACCCAACAACTTAATTTCTCAAAAACTTTTTGCCTAACAGTAAATAATCCATTTACAAGAAGAAGACTACCAACCGTGGTCGAAGCCCTCGTCTGAAAGCCACAAAGCAAAACTTCTCATCTTCAAAGCCACGCAAGGGCTCGCCTTTTGTGCGCTGAAGAGTTTTAAGTTTGGCAAAATTTAAAAAAAAAAACAGTGAGATACTTTACGCCCAATACTCTTCACCGTATTTACAAAAGAAGACTACATGCCATAAATTACTAAACCTTGTAGGCACGCTGAGATGACGTTCTCTGCAGGCGCTGTACAAAATGGCAATACTTTCCGGTGTTCTCCAATGGGCATTTTCCATCATGAGGGCACTGCATTTAAAATCCATTTACATATATGCATTCACATGGTTATTCTGATACACTGAAATCTTTGGATTGCAACGGAGAAGAGAGCTTTTTGGGAAGAATTTCCATATGTACCGGAGCAACAACATAAGCACCGGCTTTGAGATCAAGCAGGTCCTTGCTTTCAGGCTCTTTCTTCATCTTCTTTTCCAGTTTACGCAGTTTCTAATACAAATGAATAATTTGCATCATAAGCATCATAGATATTTGACAACAACAACAACGAAGACATGGATAGTGCCTGACCATCGATGCATACAGTGTAATAATTTGTTGTTTATAGCATAAGAAATTTTTTTGATAAGCACATATACTTACCCTTTTCTCCATCCAAAGTATATGAGATCGCATCTGAGATATAATGTTAGCACCATGTGGTGTTCCAGGTTCAAGCAGCACCTGTTCATAGATAATTGATGAATGGAGACGTTCATAAAAAAAATAACAAGGTAACTAAACCCACAATAAAGCTAACAGGATTCGACAAATGTAGGAATAGAAGACATGCAATTGCAAGTTCAGTTATAAGAATAGAATAACTGGGGGAGTATCTAAGGTGATAACACTCAAAATCATACCAATACATCCTGGGTAAGGTCCCAGAGCTGGCGAACTACGGTAATTCTGTCTTTCAAGGACGGAATCTCCCCTAGCACATAGGACTTCATTGGCACAGGAAAAGATTCGGAAATTTAATCAGCAGACAATAAAATTAATAAATCAATTCTGTAGCCAGCAAGAGATTTCTTGGACAAGGAAACAACTTACAGCGATCACAAGATCATGTTTCCTCTCGGAGCTACTGATGTCTTTACTAAGTGCTAGAAGGCTAGTATACCCATGGATCAGAGGTACATCCTTTAGACCTTGCATATTTGTATCAAAAATCATTTGTGATCTTGTCTGAGAACTTAGAAAAACTAGTAAAAGAAGTAATTACCCTGTATTAAGCTACGCCCTGCACGCTGCATGGACTGTGATGGCTCGACCAGATTTATTTTTTCCACGGACTTTGGCCAAACTTCTTTAACCGCCCTAAAAAGTTTTTATCACAATCAAGACTAAATTGACTGTGGTGACAGAGTAGAGTACAACAAAGCCATTTATCTCCTCACCAGAACCCCGAACCGGTACCAGCACCAAAATCCAGCACTTTTTCAGGAGCAAAATCTGGTAATCTCCTACGAATCTAACGAAACCACAGAGAACATCAGCATTGTCTTTCGATAATCAGAAGAATAAGACATTTGCAAGCTTTCAAACCATTACTGAGCTCTTTCCTCTACACAAAGTTCAAATCTATCACGAGATCTCCGCAAGAACATCCTTACATCACTCCTATCCTATAACCCAACTTAGCGTCCAACACACGATGTTAGTCAAAATCTATCTTTGCTTCATAGAAATAAAGCATGGACCACATTATTCAAGCTAAAACTGGAAACTTCTTCCTCCGCGCAGTTATAACATTCCATTTCCTTTTACCAACGGAAAAGCTAACACGAAACCAACACACAAATAAAGCGCAGATGTTTCGGAGAATTAAAACAAAAGAATACCTCAGTGAGGACTCTATAACAGGCGGAAAAGACAGCGGGCATACGAGAAGCAACATAAGCTGCTGTCTCCCCATCTCTGTATTCAAGACCGCTATCTCCATAAACGGTCTGAATCTTCCAACGCTTGGACCCCACCGACTTCATTGGATCCACAAGCTCCTTCGCTGTGGTTTCGGGCAAAAGCAGATTCGTGTCCTTTATTTCTTTGAACGATTCCGACAACTGAATCACCTTCTTCCTCATGTGCGGGTCATCGTGCTCTGAAACAATACCCGGGAAAGAAAATGCACGATGGAAAAGAAACCCATGTCAGAAAATTCCATCAAAAGATGCATAGAAATCTAAAATCGAATCGAAAAATCAGAAATGCGCGAAGATCGGAAAAAAGGGTACCTCGAAGAAATTTTTTGATAGCGCGACGAAGACGGACGGGAACAACGAGGCAGCGGAGAGATTGCTTAGCGGCGGCACGTAGGGTTTCTGCAGTGAAGACTTTCTGGGAGGTCGCCATTTTTTTGGGAGGAGCTCAAGCTCTTCCGCTGCAGAGTTTGATGATCCGAGGTTTAACACGAGAGAGCGAAAGAGGGTTTATGCCGACGGCTTGTACTTATTGGGCTTATAGTCTGACTAAAAGCCCATCAGGGACCAACGAAGATACGGTTCTGAAATTAATATCATACCCAAATTTATTGGGCTTAAAGACCCAAAATACGTAATCATTGTTCATAAAGCCCATTTAAGGCCCAATATATGCGTGGTCTGAGACCCGGGGGGGGGGGGGG